TAAAAAGAAAAACAAATAAAGAAACACATAAATACATAAATGAACAAAAACAAACAAAATTCTAGGTCTCATCCCACATATTTCACAGCGAAGATTCCGGAACAACGGTAACAACAAGCAAGACAAGGCAAATTTACCTATTTCAACGAAAAGTTATCAGTGCATGTTGCAAAACGTAGCTTCGCTCCCTATCCTTTTAAAAATTTCAAGAAACAATTCCCAATCCTGAATAGGAATGAATGAACAATTAAATGATGGCACTGATTTACCTGCTCCACTTTTCATGCATCTTGTTGCAAAACGTCACAAAGGGCCACACACAATACAATCATGCCCCAAAAGCAAAAGCCACCTTTACTTTTCTAAACCAAAAATCGCAGTCACCAGCAAAGCGTACGAAAGAATTTTAGAACAGAATTAATCATTGCATTCAACACCATGATTTAAAAGGTTTCATTGAATCCCGCATACAGCACACTAATCAAAAGCAGATAAACAACACAAAAGAAAGTTACTTTTTGTCCAAAAGTAAAACACAGCCACACTTCGTAAAGAGATAAACTAATTAATTGATCAATATGGTTTAATTGATCATCGATTTGAGAATTTTATATTTTAAAAGTTGAAAAATTGAAAAAAACTCTCAGACTATTTTTTTAAAGTAAGATAATGAACTAAAAAGTGAATAGATAACATAAAAAGCAGTTCATCTGAACTCTGAAGAGAAGACATCAAAAAGTTATTAAGCAGAATCAAAAAAGCAATAACACATAAACTTCAAAAAACACCAAAACTCAACTTTAAAATTTCCATAAAAATTACACGTTTTTATTGCAGAAAATATTACAAGAACTGCTACAGCCAAAATTATACTTTTAATGAGCTGCAGCGATTTTTTAATGCCAATCAACGATCGAAATACAAAACAATGTTGTTCCTAAAAATTTAGCCTAGCTCAAAACATGCAATTAAAAACCATTAAATCAGCAACCACCTAAATTACCTTAACAAAGCCTTGCAATCGACACAAACTATATTTTTTAAAAATCTCTGCTAGGCCAGGAAGAACAATCAGATCAAACAATTAAATAAAAAAGCGTCAAGAAATCAAACTTGCGCCACTTCTTCATCCGCAAATTCATTTCCAGTGTCTCCTTCTTCCTCTTTGTAGCGTAGTAATTTGGGGTACTTCGACTCAAGCAAAGTCGCGAGTAAACCTGGCGAACCGCCGTCATATACAACATCACAAAGCGGCAGCAGCTAGATTTTTTTTACTTCCTAATCACATTCAATTTTCTTGTGAATAAAAAAGATGATACAAAAAAAGTAAGGTGACATAATACTACATATTTTTAAACTTTTATTTTTAAAGAGCAAAATTACTTGGGATATGATAAAAGTAAGGGTGTACTGTTGTACTGAAGATTGCGGTGAATCAGCTAAATGTTTAAGATACTCGTCCCACAGTTTCTCTACATAAGAATCAGTAATTTCTCGTAAATGACAAGACCTAGAAGAAGAAAAATGCTTAATAAGACACAACTATTCAACAACTTAAACAAAATGATTTATTCAAAAGAAACCTTAAGACTGACAGGTCCCTACATAACGAATGAGCAACTCGAGAAAAATGACAAGCGTTTTGTGTAATATTTATGCTCGAACGATGAGTTGAAGAAACGGCCCAATCTATACAAAGACCCATATCGGCCATTTCTTCTAAGAAACGATTTACATTGGATTCATTTTCCATGTTATACGGCCGCCAACGCTCCTCCTTCAATATAATTGTATATCTTCGTAAAAAATTACTCTTATAGCTCTACGTTCGCATAAAAACAAAAACAAACAAAATTGTTCAACAGATTACAGAAATACGCAGCCTGATAGATTCAATGATGTTGTCAAAGTTTGATTTCAGCGCAGCCTTCAAAGAGGGAGCGAGAAGCCGGTGAACCTCAAAAGTTAAATCAGCACCAATTAAACAAAGACTCTCGCAATGCAGCATTAGTATTCGCCATGTATGTGCCAATACAGCCATAGTGGGAGCAACCTTAAATCTTCATATTAAAAAGTATCTTAAAATGAATAAATTCTAGCGCATTAGTATATAAAGTAACTCAAAAATACCTGCTTACTTGATGTTTTTTGCAGAGCCCTTATCTACTGATCTCTAACAGTTGGAAAATGACTCAAAAAAACACCTCAATAACATGCCTTCGAATGAGGGAAAGCATTAAATTGAGCTCATCCGAACACCACTGTAAAATTAGAGCGAAATCTTCAGGTTGTGAGCTAAATTCAGTTGCCACGTCAGACATTGCGCTCAAAAACTGCTGCGACAACTGGCGTACATAAGATAAAGGTTCTTCACTGACACTTAACTCACGTGTGCTCTGTCGAAGCTAAAATTTTGAACTAAACAAAAGCCCAATCTATTCTAAAATTTAGAAGAAAACTGATCTGATTAAGTTTGACTACTGGCTTACGAAAAAATGAAAAATTTCGTTCAAATCTTGAGAGACTGAAGGTTCAAAATGATAGCATTATTAATTCCCATAAAGTACTCAGCCAATATACAAACTGACTTACCGCCGTACTGCGCCTCTTCAAATAAAGATCCACTGCTTGAGCAGCACGACCCAAACTTGTCATAAGATTAATAGCTTTTCGAACTGCTCGTGGTCCGCCATGCAGTGCACCTGGACGACAAATCTAAAAAAATGTACAGGGTACAAAAACAGTAACAAAAGGTAAGACTGGTCGCTGCTACAAATTTCAACCTCATCACTTAATATCTGGACTATATGAGCTTCGCGATGAGATAACTGTGCGTCTACAACAGGATCTCGTGTGGAACAACTTTTCCACTCCATAATTAACTCTACCTGAAGAAATGACTAAATAACCAACAAATAAGGAAACAGAATTTTTACTAAAAGAAAAGGAAGAAAATGGAACTAATAAATCTCAAAAAAAAAAAAAAAAAAAAC